TCCCACAACGAAAATCAGGCATCCGCAGGTTATCGCAACGATTATCTCTAATTTTAAAGCCGTTGGAGTAGTTTCATCTAAACCTGTAAAGAGATAAAGTTAACTCTGTATTGACAAGCAAATTATATATTTAACAAAACAGACATGTTTCCTGTGCCAAAGTTGTATTTTCAGTATGCAGTACATCCTTTGCATCAAACTGTCAAGAGCTGATAATGAGGGAAATCCCCTTTTTAAGCCTTGGAACGAAAAACTTTAAGTTGCCGAAATATAGAAAAAAATTTAGTTCGGAAAGGGGGAGGGCGGTAGCTTTTTGTTTTTCTCCATTCTATTATAACGTATTTTTTTAAGGACATAAAAGCTCAAATGCAAGTTACATTTTTATTCACCTCCCTTAGCTTGCGCATCCTCGAGCTGCAAGCCGAAATATTGGCTTATTAAAGATGGAACATTTGGTATCAGAAAAGATCTTTGCTTCTTTAATCAACCTGTACAATTACGATCAAAAGCYATCGAGTCTTTAGAAGTCAAATAAATGTGGTATGCATACCTTTGCCAACTGTACTGCAGTTGTGCTTGGTCATCACTGAAAGAAATTGAACCGAATAAGGTACGGACCATTAGATTTTTGAGGGAGGAGGGGGGGTGGGCAGTTTATTTTATGTAGGAGTTTTTTTTTGTTTTGTTTTTTGGAGTTTTTTGTTTATTTCAATTCTGGATTTCGTCTTCTTCTGATATTCAAGTGTAAAATTATGCTAAAACATTTATCCTCCTCAGATTCAGTGGTTATGGTGATTATCACAGCTCGGTAAATATTCAACAATCACAATTGTTAAATATATTGGAGAAAAATAGCAACACGAGAAAGAAAAAGAAAGAAAGATGATAAGATATATCAGATGGGTCAGGATAAAAGGATCTATCAACGCGTGTGTGGATGGCTGAATGGGCGTAATAAATAAAAACAAAGACTCGGTGAAGTCCTGAAACCTATATTTTGCTTACAGCACACATGCTATTAATCTTGGGATGAGTTAAATAAATAAAAAGACATTAGTTGTATATCTTATAAATAGTTCCTTACCATTAACACGTATTTCTGGGCTACTGATGTTCCCAATTTCGTTCTTTGCGTTGCAGAAAAACGTCATCGTTTTTGTAGCACACTTTACATACGAGACGTTGTAATATTTTCCAGTGCTTACGATATCTCCTGAATCCCCACTGATCCATGTAATAGTTGGAGTTGGGATTCCTTTTGTTTCGCATTTCATAGTTATGCCGCTGATAGTCATGTTGTAAAACGTGGGTAGTGGAGTTATGAAGGTTGGAGGAGCTGGCTCGCAAAAACAAAACAAAAAGAGGACTTCATTTTATTTACGGTGCTTTGCTTTTTTGTTTGTTTGTTTGTTTATCTATTTTTTTGTTTGTGTGTGTGTGGTGTGTGCGTTTTTGTTTTTGTTTCTTTGTGTCTTATACACTTATTGCTATTTTTTCAGCGAAGGGGTTGTCTTTTCGTACGTTACCTTAAATGAGGATAAATCTCAGAGGGAGCTAGAATGAAAGCAAACTCGTTGCATTCAGCAAGCAATGAACACACAAAATATATGTATGATTTTAGATTTTTTTCTTCTTCTTTTTAATTGTCATAAAAATGTCCATTTTCTTCTGTTCTCTTACCGTACACTCGAAAAACATCTTTCTTCATTGGTCCATGTCCATATTTATTGCGTGGAATGCAACTCACATTTATGTGGTATATTTTATCTTTTCTTGCAGCTGGTACTTCGATTACACCATTACTCGAATTGTACCCTTTATCATCAATTGTCATTATAAAACGGTTTGCAGGAGGGGAGGCAACAGCTTCGCATTTTATACGAATCATATTATCAAGTATAATCATGTGTTTTAACAACAGTTTTGTATTTTCTGGCTCATATTCTGAAAGCAAAAGTAAAAGAGCTGTGAAGTCAAACAACCAGCCAGTGATTAGCCTTGTGATATATTAAATTTTCACATTAAAGGACTTTTATTTTAGCAACCGCGTTAACGAGGTGAACTGAGTTAAAAAAAATATATATATATATATATTTTTTTCAATCCCAGTCATGTTTTACCAACATCTTTTTTAGCATGTTTTCAACACTATCGGATAGTATGGCATCCTTTCTTGCATCTGGTTACAACCCATGACCCAGTTCAAGTAACCTGTTATTTACTGTATATTTTACGTACTTGGGTAAGAATCATTCCAT